TAGGACGAAGTGGGGAGGGATGTCAGTGTCAAAACCGGCAGATCTCGGGTAGGGGGTCCCGAATGGTGTGTCTAAGGATCGAAGGTACAAGGAGGCAGGGGACACAATGTTTACCCAGGTTTGGGCCCTCTTAATGGAGGTAATACCCTACTTCCTGCTTGATTGACTTTGATGAGTATAGGGGTTACAAGAGTTGATCTACCTCGAGATCGTAATGGCTAAACCCTAGATGTCTAGCATGTATGATTATGATTCTCCCCATGGACAAAGCCCTCCAGTTTATATAGACACTGGAGGGATCTAGGGTTATACAGAGTCGGTTACAGAGAAAGGAAGGTACATGATCCAAACGCTAAGCTTGCCATCCATGCAAGGGAGAGTCCTATCTGGACACGGGGGAGGTCCTTCTACCTTGTAATGTCACGGCCCATCAGTCCGGCCCATGTCACATAGGCCGACTCCTCGAGGACCCCATAGTCCAGGACTCCCTCAGTAGCCCCTGAACCGGGCTTCAATGACGATGTGTTCGGCGCACAAATTGTCTTCGGCATTGCAAGATAGGTTCCTTCTCCAAATACTTCAACGCATTCCTCCACGCAAAACAACTGTATTTGACTTTATTAACAATTACAGCCTTAAGTCATAAGGGCAAAAAAAACATTTGAAATGAAATAAGCCACGTTCATAGGCGATTTCTCCGGCGATGCATTATGTCCTAGCCTAGTTAGCATTCTGAACTGTTTCACAGCCTCGTTTTGTATTTCGAGGCACGACCATTGACATGTCTTGTCAAAGCAGAGATCATGCCCCCTTATCACGGGAATTTCATAAACAGGGGTTTGGGTTATCCAACCGTGCCGTTCACAGGTCCCCTTGGGAATAGGAGAGATTTAAGGCTTGTGAGGGGGTGCTTGACATCCATTGCCTTTATAGAAGATAAGGATCCTCCTTTTTACCCCACGCCTTCTTCCTCCTCTGCCCATCTGCCACTCGAGCTCCAGCGCCCAAGTATCAATTCCTTCCATCGCCACCAAGCACTCCTAGCCATGTCTGGATCTACAGCGCATGGCAAGTGGATGGCTTCCTCTGTTACAGAGGAGAACATCACAGAGCTCCGGGAGGCTGGGTATCTGGCCACGGACATAGTCCATCGACTTCCTGCCAAAAAGTAGATAATTCCCACTCCGGAGCCCAACGAAAGGGTAGTGTTCATACCTCATTTCCTTCACGGACTAGGGTTTCCCCTTCATCCTTTTGTCTGTGATCTCATGTTCTACTATGGGCTAGATTTTCATGATCTAACCCCAAATTCCTTCCTCAACCTCTCGGCGTTTATCGTTGTGTTTGAGGCATTCCTTCATGTCCCTCCCCACTTTGGCCTATGGCTCAAGGCCTTCAATGTGAAGCCAAAGGTAGTCGAGGGCCAACATGCGGAGTGCGGCGGCGCCATGGTGAGTAAACTCCCTAACGTCAATTGGCCAAAGGGGACCTTTGTGGAGAGCGTCAAAGGATGGCAGCAGGGGTGGTTCTACATCACGGAACCTCGCAATGCCACACGGGCCGCCGCTCCTG